TTAACCACTGTGTCACCAGGGCTCTGAAACAACACCTAGCATAAGTTAAGTGCTGTATGTGCATTTACTATCACCGCTCATAACTAAGTAACAAAAGGTAATATGATTATATGCTTTTTCTTCTGTCTTTCCCTGGAGCTAATAATTCCCTCTTAGGCTTCTGTGTACCTATCACTAACTCATCCTCAGCTATAAAACTGCTTGTCAATATGGCCATACATACAAGGTAACATATCAGTTCCTTTGTTCCCCTGCATCTCATTGCTAACCTGGTGATAAATGTTCCTCCCCAGTTAGTATTTCTGATTGTGCAAGGATACCATGTGGACCTGAAGACTCAAATTTATGAGATCACATAAGCCTCTCTTTCATTATACACCTGAAGGCCATTTTGGGGGAAAGAAGCAGTGGAGTGTAAAGAGAGGCTATCGTGGAGACATATCCTTTTGGTTTTCCCCCCTAAAAGAGATATCATTTCTTGTAGGAACCACTTAAATTATTTCATCAGATGAAAATTTAAACAAGTGTGAGAAATCCTAAATGGGTATATACCTATGAACATAGCTTCAAAATATGTGAAGCAATGTGACGTGACCCGGGATTGGGCAGTGTGGTGGTCCTGCCTCCCAGCCCCGTTCCCATGCTTGACTTCTTCACATTATTCAGGTCTCTGCTCAAAGGCTCCTTCCTCAGACACCTGTTAAACTAACAATTCCACCCGAAATAGCTATTCCTCCAACCATTACTTAACTTTGCTTTATTTTTCTTTATAGCACTTAGTTACAACATGACATTTCATTATTTATTGGCTACTTTATTGTTAGTCCCTACCATTGGAGTATAAGCTTACGGGACATCTTCATTGCCTTATTCACAGCCAGATCCTCAGAGCCTAGATCAGAACCTAGAACATCATAGCAGATGTTAAATAATATTTGTTGAGTAAATGAATTACTGGATTTGTTTAATCTGAGCTTATTTCATTATCTTCTGCATTTTTATCATTTATTCACTCATTCTGTAATCATTTACTAAGCCTGTACTGTGTCATGTATGAGGTGGCGGAGACACAAAGATCTGTAAAATATAGACTTTCATAAAGAAATCCCCACTTCCTGAAGGATAAAATTAAAGTCCTTAACCTAACATGTAAGGCCTACAACATTCTTGTGCCATCCTTGCCCAGCTAGATCATTCTACTCATGATAATTCTGATAATAATAGTAGTAAAGTAATATTTATTAAGCATTTAGTATATGCTTAAAAACCCTATGGAATGCAGTTCTACTCTGTATACTTGGAGTCACCATGAGTTGGAATTGATTCATCTGCAACTAACAACAATCTACAAAACCCACCTAGCTTATTCCTTCTTCCAAGCTTTGGCTCTCACTGTTTCTCTGGCCTTGAAGGCCCTCCCTATTTGAATCCCACCTGGTTCTGCTCAAGTTTCACACCTTCACAGAAGCCTTTTCTACGGCTTCATTAACATAGACAGCTTTATCCTCAGATTTCTTCATTCATTGTGTTTATCTATCACTGTACACTAACCTAATATTATTTCTCCCATTAAATGACTATCCATATCCTCTCCCCATCTATCACCTATACACAATACTGATTTATGTTTTCTGAGCACATGTCATTTTCCAAGCACTATTTTATGAGTTTGGTACAATTTATATGTGAAGAAATTAAAAGTCAAGAGAGGTTAAGAATCTAGAGAACAGAACTAATAAAATGATCCCTAGGTGTGACTGGCTGAAAGGCAGGAATCTGAAAGGAGGGAAGAGATCTTGTACACAGCAAGGGTAGGACACAGGTGAAGATTATCGTTGTTAGCTGCTGTAGAGTTGGCACCGACTCGTAAGACCCCAAGCACAACTCAAAGAAACGCTACCCTGTCCTATATCATCCCCATGATCCATTGTGGATTGCATCATTGTGATCCATAGAGTTTTCATTGGCTCATTTTCAAAAGTAGATCACCAGACCTTTCTTCCTAGTGCTGAAAACTCTTCAGCATCATGTTGTTATTAGGTGCCATCCAGTTTGTTCTGACTCATAGCCACCCTATGTACAACAGAATGAAACACTGCCTGGTCCTGCGCCATCCTCACAATTGTTGCTATGTTTTGAACCCATTGTTGCAGCCACTGTGTCAATCCATCTCACTGAGGGTCTTCCTCTTTTTTGCTGACCCTCTACTTTACCAAACACGATATCCTTCTCCAGGGACTAGTCCCCCCGATAATATGTCTAAAGTTCATGAGACGAAGTCTCACCATCCTCACATTCAAGGAGCGCTCTGGCTGTACTTCATTTAAGATAGACTTGTTGGTTCGTCTGGTAGTCCATGGTATATTCTGTATTTTTCACCAACACCACAATTCAAAGGCATCCATTCTTCTTTGGTCTTCCTTATTCATTGTCCAGCTTTCGCATGCATGTGAGGTGATTGAAGATATCATGGCTTGGGTCAGGTGCACCTTAATCCTCAAAGTGACATCTTTGCTTTTGAACACTTTAAAGAGGTCTTTTGCAGCAGATTTAACCAATGCAATGCATCATTTGATTTCTTTCTTTTTTTCTCATTTATTACAACAGTTTATTATAGAAAATTTAACTTAAAACACCATCATTCTTTTTTTTATTGTTGTGCTTTAAGTGAGAGTTCACAATTCAAGCTAGTCTCTCATACAAAAATTTTTACATACATTGTTATATGACCCTAGTTGCTCTCCCTATACTGTGACAGCAAACTCCTCCCTTCCACCCAGGTTTCCCGTGTCCATTCAACCAGCTCCTGACCCTCTCTGCCTTCTCATCTCGCCTCTGGACAGGAGCTGCCCATTTAGTCTTATGTATCTGCTTGAACTAAGAAGCACACTCTTCATGAGTATCATTTTATGTCCCATAGTCCAGTCTAATCTTTGTCTGAAGAGTTGCCTTCGGGAATGGTTTTAGTTTGGGGCTAACACAGAGAGTCCAGGGCCCATGTCTTCCAAGGTCCCTCCAGTCTCAATCAAACCATTAAGTCTGGTCTTTTTACTAGAATTTGAATTCTGTACCCTACGTTTCTCCTGCTCCATCAGGGACTCTCTGTGTCAGGGCGGTCATTGCTGGTAGCCAGGCACCATCTAGTTCTTCTAGTCTCAAGCTGATGCAGTCTCTGGCTTATGTGGCCCTTTCTGTCCCTTGGATTAATACTTTCCTTGTGTCTTTGGTGTTCTTCATTCTCCTTTACTCCAGGTGAGTTGGGACTAATTGATGCATCTTAGATGGCCGCTCGCTAGCTTTTAAGACCCAGACACCACTCACCAAAGTGGGATGCAGAACATTTTATTAATAAACTTGGTTATGTCAGTTGACCTAGATGTCCCCTGAAACCATGGTCCCCAAACCCCTGCCCCTGCTACTCTGTCCCTCGAAGTGTTCGGTTGTATTCAGGAAACTTCTTAGCTTTGGTTTAGTCCAGTTGTGCTGACTTCCCCTGTAGTGTGTGCTGTCCTTCCCTTCACCTAAGAATTGTTGTC